CAGCAGCAGCAGCAGCAGCAGCAGCAGCAGCAGCAGAAATGTTAATACTGATAAACTCTTAATATACACATAAATACCTCTCTTGCTGCTGCACACACAACCAACACAAACTCCAAACGCAGAAGACACCGGGGTAGCAGCAGCAGCAGCAGATGCTGCTGCTGCTGCTGCTGCAGCAGCTGCTTTTGCGGCAGCAGCAGCAACAGCAGCAGCAGCAGCAACGGCAGAGGGGTCAAGAGTCGTTTGCAGCAGCAGTTGTAGCAGCAGCAGTAACTGCTGCAGCGGCAGCTGCCGAGGGAGCAGAGTCATTGATAGCAGCAGCAACAGCAGCAACAGCAGCAACAGCAGCAGAAGCAGCAGCTACTGCAGCAGCAGCAACAGCAGCAGCAGCAGCTACTGCACCAGCAACAGCAGCAGAAGCAGCAGCTGCTGCACCAGCAACAGCAGCAGAAGCAGCAGCTGCTGCAACAACAACAGCAGCAACAGCTTCTGCAGCAGCAACAGCAGCAGCACCAGCTACTGCAGCAGCAACAGCAGCAGCAGAATTTGCTGCTGCTGCAGCAGCAGCAGCAGCAGCAGCAGCAGCAGAGGCATCAATCCAGCCAATTAAACTTCTTCAAGACAAAAGATATTTTAATTTTTACTTTTTATTTTACATCGCTTTAGTTTGAGGTGTACAGACACCTCAGCACTCTCCACCCCAGCATACATCCGCCGCCTTTTTGTGTTTATATTCTGCTGCTCTCCTCTATGGGGCAGCAGCAGCAACAGCAGCAGCTGCTGCAGCAGCAACAGCAGCAGCTGCTGCAGCAGCAACAGCATAACCTGCAGCAGCAGAATTTGCTGCAGCAGGATCTGCAGCAACTGCAGCAGCTGCTGCTGTAACAGCAGCAGCTGCAGGAGCAGCAGATGCAGCAGCAACTGCAGTAACAACTGCAGCAGCATAAGCTGCAGCAGCAGCACCTGCTGCAGCAGGATATGCAGCAGAAGCACCTGCTGCAGCAGCACCTGCTGCAGCAGCACCTGCTGCAGCATCCGGAGCGCCAGTTGCAGCAGCAGTAGCAGCAACTGCAGCAGCAGTTACAACAACTGCAGCAGCAGGTGCAGCAGCTGCAGCAACTGCAGCAGCAACTGCAGCAGCAGCAGAAGCAGCAGCAGCAACGTAAGCATTTGGCTAGAGAGTGTTGTATTTGCTGCAGCAAACAAAAATTTATTTAATTTTCGTTGCTTTAGTGGAGACAACAAAATGCTCTGCATGCATGCATGCATTCTTGCATGCATTTTAAATAAAATAAAATAAAATAAAAATCAATAAAATAAAAATAAATAAAATAATTTTTGTTTTGGTGTTCTATGCTGCTGGTAGCAAACTCAGTTGAGTGTATTATAAAAATAAAAAATATTATTTAAAGTAAAAAATAAAAAACCCTAAACCCTAAACCCTAAATCATAATTTTTCTATTTATTTCTCGTTTCAGTACTTTGGGGGGATAGGGGTTTGGGATTTAGGGTTTAGGGTTTACGGCTTTGGGGAGATGGTGGGGGTTTAGGGTTTAGGGTTTAGGGTTTAGGGCTAAACCCTAAACCCTTAAAAACGAGAAATATTAACTACAGCAAAATATTCGCTTAAAGAAATAAACCCCAATAAAAACAAATAACAAACGACAGACAACAAAAAAAATATAATAAACGGAATCATATATATATACATATATATATATATATATATATATATATATATATATATATATATATATATATATAT